TATATATATGTGTATATATATGTGTGTATATATATATATATATATATATATATATATATATATTTATATATATATAACATAAAACCGCATAATGTTAACCACCTATCTGAAATGAATGCAAGATGTACATACATGTGTATGTGTTTGAATGTGTATATGTCTGATGAGTATGCAATTATTCTAACATTCTCATAATACCTTCTCAGATCAGAGATTTGGCATTTTCTAATTTTGTAATTGAGGGCATTAATGATGTGGCGATTCTGATTTTTCTTTATCCTCTAACCAGTTCCCCATGACAGTTGGAGATATCGTGCATGGATGCACCAATTATGAAGGAAATGCGACTTGGATCAATTTCATCGAAAAAACAAATTTTACTGTGTAACAAATTCTCATAGTATTCATGATAAATACTTGTAAATATAGTGATGACAAAAAAACAGCATACACTTTTATCTGTTTTGACATCATTGGTTTATAGCGATTTCTCTAATAGATATGTATCAAAGTTTCTGAAAATTTTAATTTCACATTCGACTTAACTAAATTTAAATATCAAGCAAATAGATTACCTCACACAAAACACTAATGGAACAAACTTCAACGAAGCTGAAAAAAAAAACATTATAAAAAAATAAAACTCTAAAAGAAAGTGAGTTTTCGGCAACACCAATATGTGTCAGAGAGTACGAAAAATTTCTAAGCAAAACAAACAGCATATGGTTTAACCCACTGGCCATCAAAAAACAAGAACAAAAACGTAGTTAAAAATGGTCATGAAACTCAACTACAAACATTTCCCCCATCACGTAGTCTTCACATATTAGTGAGTAAAAACGTGAAAAATCAAAGACATTTGTACCAAGCACATGATAAGTTATAAAAAAAGCATTACAGAAGTATACCCAGCAAATCATCCCCGCAAAATAAAATCATCTCTATCATCCGTGCAAACAAATATTTTTTCCTCAGATGCGATTACCAGCAAATCAATATAGTATAACACACCACTATAAAATCAGATATTGCAGAAACATATACGTAGGTATAATTGACTGAACCTGGAAAGTGACAAACTACACTCACAAAATCTCCTTTACCAATAGTACAAGGACGAAAGTACAAACATTTCTAAATATATACGGGAATATTAAAACAAAAATAAAATTCCTCAAAAATATAATGGAAAATAAAGAAAACAACACAAGTATAAACAGCAAAATAGAATAGAAAATAACTTCCAAGACCAACACAAATTCCTAAATAATAGAAGAAAATTCATCTCAAAATACTGACACCAAATATATTAAACACTTACAACATCAAGGAAAATGCAGTTAATGAAAAATACATTGAACAAATCCAATATGTTAATGTAAACATATATGATAAGTACTCCTAAAAACAAATAATACTAATCAATATTGAATAATCAATGAATATATAAAAAAATGTACAAAGTAATCAATACTAAATAAATAATGGTTTAAAAATGTAAAAGAAAACATGCTTACACAATAGTAAAAATATAACCGCATTGTAATCCATAATTATTTCTACTGAATATATTTTAGTTTTATTCATAACAGCTCAGACCTGTCATTAGATGTCAGAATTAATAATAAACTGGAATTAACGCATAGACAACAATATCTATATAGCTGACCTACTACACACATATGGCCTGCAAGATTACGTTCAAGAATAAAAGAAAGTCTTCCACTCGGGTTTGGCCTCACATATAGCAGAAATTAAAAATATAATTTTTATATATATATATATATATATATATATATATATATATATATATATGGCTGATGTTTCCTTTTAATCAGGAAACACACTGTGGCATTCGTTGTTGACTTCGATGACCGCATTGATATCTACGTCTATACCTTATATTGGGCACTTCAAACCATGAATATAACACACCTTAAAATCTGTTTTTACACACACGTACACACACAAATATATATATATATATATATATATATATATATATATATATATATATATATATATATATATATATAAGCATATTTGCTGAGCCTTAAGATTAATTATGCGTTTGGCATTATACGTTCGGCCACGAAATGTCTAGTCGATATCTCCCCTCTTAGCTATAGTTTGCTCAGTAGGACTTACTAGAATGTTTGTCTTTCTCAAAAAAAAAAAAAAAAAAAAACAATGCTATATTCACTCTTTTTCCCTTTAATAAATATAATATTTTATCTTGATTCATTTCAGATTCAATATATACTAGTCGTCATAAATTAATTAATATTTTTGTGCCAGCAAATTCGTACATATTTACTAAAATAATTAAACCACTAAATATATATATATATATATATATATATATATATATATATATATATATACAGTTGAAACCTAACCCGAACAAAATAACTTCTGAAATCTCCACAAATATTCTTAAATACATATAATTGGAAACAGAAGCCATTGGATAATGCCAACAGCTTCCCATACTTAATACTTCTCGTTTTCGCTCTTGCGTGGTCATGTGTGACGTCATGAGCTGCACTTTTCGTTTGCTGCGTCTAAAAATGCACGAGTTGTCATTGCTTGGAAATCTTCCACATAATCAGAAACTGACTATAATTCCTGTTTTTCCGTGTATTGCTTAACTTAATTGTCAACTTTGATAATGGCTTAAGTAAGCCGAAAGGATAGGGTAGGAGAGGATTAAAAAATATGTATCAATATTGTGATTTTCTTTCTTCGTTTGATGATAATGTTATTTAGCTTATATGGCGATATGAAAAGAATTTACATAAAATAAATAATAGATATACAAGACTCGTCTATATTATTTAATAAAACATACATCAATATATATATATATATATATATATATATATATATATATATGTATGTATTCACACATACTGGAGTATTTATGTACATATGAGGGCTCGCCAAGATAAACAGAAGTCATATTAATTGGGCTATTGATGCAGACGAACTAACAACCTGTTATCTGGCATGGACAAAATTTAATATTTTCATTGTAACTTCCTGGTCAATATCTGACATTGGCATGCCAGCATCCAGCATCCAATTAGTTATAAGACACGTCTGTGGTTAGACATATTATTTCTTTTTATGTTGACAGGTGAACGGGGAATATGTTATATGTGTCAGCGCGGGAACAATGTAGGTACACATTTTACAAGAACAAACTTATGAAATCAAAGATTGTCCTGACGGTCCTTAGCAATACAACACTCGTCATAAAACTCGAATTCTTCCCATAGGGCCTGAGCACCAACATCACTGTTTATATCGAGATGCTGGACCTTGTGTCATTAGTAATTTACCTAGACCGGACATTCATATTCCGATAAAATTCCTTCGTTTAAGATATTCTTAGAATTCAGACATAGAACCAAGGTAATTCAAATTTTCAACAAGTTCTCAAGATATTATGTTGAATTTGAAAATGTTCTGGTATTTTACCGTAGACACTGAGACAAGAAATTTTCGCAATTGTTTCATATTTCAGCGCGTGGTCGAATCATTAGAACATTTGCTGTTCGAGACCGGGGTTCGAACCCTTCATGCTAGATTAATCAGAAAGGCAATTTCTTGATGCTATCGGCATGTGAAGCCTGAAACACATACCACGGATTGACCCAAAACTTGCGAGTGAAAATTAGGCAGATGGAACAATTTGGGAAGCGTTGTTGATTGTTCTAGCACGAAGTCATCGGGTTTGAGGGTACTGGCTGTGGTCATATTGTTGATTAAGGCAGATTATGCGCTCTCTTCCAGAAACTATAACTAAAGACTGCTCCGCATAGTTGCACTATAAACAACAGGCGGGCTAAATGTAATTTGATCAAACACAAATGTGCTTGAGTAGACATCGTCAATAGAGTTTTTTTTTTTCTAGAGGCACAAGTAAACAGGGTTACGCGAGTACAGACATAAAAGGACAACGTTATCATAACAAACATTATAAGAATTTAGAAACAGAATTCGCTTTAATAAGCAATGAGAGCTGTATATCTGTTTGCGTATCTATATGCACACATAACATAGATATATAAAAATAATTTCACAAGAATAAGAATATAGTGATTCAAGAAATATATGAATGAACTTAATCTTTCATTAAAAATTTATCTCCGTGTCACGTTCTATTTAAACTGTCATTAAATATGTAGTATTCTGGTGTTATCCTGGTCGATCGATTCTTGGCGAAGTACGCTCTTTATTATTATTCATACACACACACATACACATTACTTAACTGTAAATATCAATTTTTATGTTGTTTCCTCGGCGTCGATTTTTTTTTTTGTAATTATCTTTTCTTCTTTGGGTCTGTCGTTTGAATAAATTTATTTCTACATTTTTTTATAATTTTTTCGATAAACACACACATATATAAATATATGTACATGTATGCATGTATGTATGAATGTGTGTGTGTATATATATATATATATATGTGTGTGTGTGTATGTGTGTGTGTGTGTGTGTGTGTGTGTGTGTGTGTGTGTGTGTGTGTGTGTGTGTGTGTGTGTGTGTGTGTGTGTGCGTACTTGAAGGTCTGTATAATCAACCACATTTTTCATTTTCTGTTATGTTTAACTATATATGTTTGGAGAATGATCTGCTGCCTCAATACAATATAGACACACACACACACGCACGGGCGCGTGCGTGTAGGCGTGTTGTGTGTGTTTGTGCCTGAGGGTCTGCAGTATCAACCACATTTTTCGAAAGAACTGAATTCAAATTACTGGTGCAAATATTGTGCTAGCAGATATTCAAAATTCCATCTTTATGTTTTTTTTTTTTATTCACATTTGCCTTTATTTGGAATGACTGCCAACCAAAGCTAAAATCCTAGATTATCCTACCGTTTAAATCGTAGCTGGGGAATAAAAACGAGTTTCTTATTTCCTAACTATATATATATATATATATATATATATATATATATATATATATATATATATATATACATATAGATAGATAGATAGATAGATAGATAGATAGATAGATAGATAGATAGATAGATCCAGGGACAACGGAATAATATCTTCGTTCGGATTAACGGATCTCTGAAGTGGATTTGAATAATAATGACTTATGTAAAAATATGTATGTATCAATCATTTCTCACCTCCGACCTATGGTTAATTAACGGGACATAATGGGACATAATATCATTAAGGTTGTGTGTTATCTCCCTATTTTTGGGACACCTGATTTCATATGTATGAGAGTTACGAACAGTTTCGATATGCCAGAAAATATTTCCGACACTTCGAAAGCGGATATTACAACAGTAACAGGTGTAACTATATTATAATCATTTGAAGTTTTTGTAGTTATAGGCAAACTAGCCAGTGTGTAAACTATCGATACAAATACATAAACTCTGTGAAATCAACTGTTTAGATCCAACTGCTTAGACAACATTTTGAAATAAAATTGTCAAGAATAATCGAGTTTTGTATAAAACTCTTATTTATGAGAAAGCCAGACATTTTAGTTGCAAATGTTAAATGCTGTTTGTCTAATTAATCGCTGAAAGGAATTATGATGACATGTCGAAAAAGCTAAAATATTAACAAGCCTTCACGTAAATAGGCGTCCGTGTCTGAAATAAGTTTTTGTTTGGATTAATTTCATTTAAAATCTGTAAGACTGTCAGATCGATGAAAAAATTTTGACAGAGGAAAATGTTGGAATTTGTCAATGATATCTGATCTTTGGAAGGTTATAGAAAGTTCCGTAGCGTGCGTTAAACAATGTATTTGTGACATATCGATCGATGGGATGTTATTTTAAAGAGAGTTAGTATCGATTATGTCTCTCCGATCAAATCCTGAAGTTTCTCCAGTAACGATAAACACTTCCACTCACAATGCGGTTCAATATATTTTGTGTTTTATTTCACCACATACCTCAAGTGGAACCCATTAATTAATATAGTAGAAAAATATTTACTCATTCAATCTTTCTAAGTAAGTACCTGGATTCTTTTTCTATATTATTCCTTTAAAAATTCAGAATATAAAAATAACATAAAGTAAACCTGTAATATATGTGTTGGATACATTCTATTGTAAAGTTTAAGATTGGTCAGATATCAGAATCGTCTATGATTACTTGAGGGGCAAGGCATTTATCTCGCTATATAACATCTTATTACAAGGAAATTTTTGTAAGCTTGTCGCTATACTACTGCTATTTACTTACTAGATATTATATATAAATTTCATTTAGATTGTGTGTTATCTCTCTTTCATTGGTAACACCAGTTTTCATTATATTTATGAAAGTTACGGAAAGTTTTGTTATGTATAATAAGATAATCGTGATTTTATTTCCACAAATGGAAATGATTAATATATACTGTATAATTGAATAGATTTTGCTGATCCGATGCGACGTTACAACTGTCATCATGGAAACGAGAATGAGAGAAACGAATTGAAGTATCAACAGAAATAAAGTACGTATAAATCTCCTGACTGGCCACTTCTAACTTGAGAATATTTTTTTTTAAATCGAAACTGGTTAGATTAATAGGAAAAATATCATAGATATGCAGATTTTTCCTGTCTACATAGACAAAGGATTCTTCAGTATGTTAAATGCTTTGAATGTTCGCTGTCAAAATGATGCCATGAAAAATATAATTCACAATTATAAATGAATCGTGAAGTTAGCAAAAGTATTATCCTGTTCATATCTACCAATTAATATATATGCAAATTGAATCATATCACAAGATTCTCACTGGCTAAGAAAAAGTGATTTATTAAAGAAATCTAAAAGAAATGTAATAGTCACTAACTGAAAGGTCGACGAATTCATACAAATCATATCTCTTAAACAGAATGAAAGGAATGCTCTGATATTGTTTTAATTCAAAATGAATGAGAAACGGAGAACCAAATTCGACTTCCAGTTGAATTCATTACATTCATGTATTCACAAATACCTTAAAGAAAAGAATGAATCCATCTTTTCTCACTGAGCTATGGGTTAAATAAACGGTGGGACAAACCTGTTAGCTGTCTTTGGCTATCTTACTATAAAAACACAAATCTGAATTCAAAATATTACGCGGGGTGTCGTTTGAATATTTAGTAGCACAAGATTCGAAATGATAAATATATATATATATATATATATATATATATATATATATATATATATATATATATATATATATATATATAAACATATTCATATGTATATATCTATATATTTATTTATATATATCGTGTGTGTGTATTTATATGTGTGTATGATACACACACACACATATATATATACGTACACGCATATACATATATAAGTATATATGTGTTTATATATATATATATATATATATATATATATATATATATATATATATATATACAGAGACACACACACACACACACACGTGCACACACACACAAATATATATATGCCTTGTCTTTTGCTAGATTAAAATTTTGATCTTACGTGGAATTTTTAAAGCCGTTCGTTTCTCCTCGTGGTTTCTATATTTTATTAAAGCAAATTGTCCCAAGCCCACTGCTGGGGACGGGTAGGAATTGTCGCTGACCATTCCCTCCCACTATCTTATCTGTAACCTGACGCTTGGACACTGCGATATGGCTGGCTGTACAATCACTGGCGTCCACCGGAATGGAAGCGGACATTAACTTTCTGCCATGTGTGAGTATAAATTCATTCTACCAGAGAGGTATCCAAAAGCACCTCTCTCTCTCTCTCTCTCTCTCTCTATATATATATATATATATATATATATATATATATATATATATTCCAACGTCTATGTATTTATTTTATTTATCTACTCTTGCTTGGTCTCTCCCCCCACTCTGTGTGACTAACTGGGTATTATCTCCAATTTAGACCCCCACAAGGCCTGTGGTGGAGATGGCATACCAGCCATTGTCGTGAAGAAATGCGCGCCTGAGCTACCGCCTGCCCTCTCTAAACTGTATAATTACTGCCTCAAATAATCCTTTTTTCCTGACTGCTGGAAATCCTCATCCATTGTTCCTGTCTTTAAGAACTCTGGATACCCCTCTGACCCCTATAATTACCGTCCTATTAGTCTCCTACCCCTGTTCGGCAAAGTCTTCGAAGCCCTAATCAATGCTGAATTGGTTAACCACCTTACATCCCATGATCTGCTCTCAGACAAGCAATATGCTTTCCGCTGCGCCCGATCTACGGCTGATGTGCTTACGGCCATCACTGAAACCGTCTACCAAGCCCTTCAAAATAACGGTGAGGCTCATGCCGTGGCCCTAGACATCTCCAAAGCGTTTGATAAGGTTTGGCATGACGGCCTTCTTCGTAAGCTCCAGGGTTATGGTATTAATGGTCGACTCTTTGATCTAATATTATCATTCCTGTCAAACCGAGAATTGAACGTCGTTTTCAACGGATTCTTCTCGGCGACAAAACTAACCTGGCAGTGTGTCTGGAAATGGACCTCCAATCGGTTGTTAACTGGGACAATAAGTGGCTGGTCAACTTTAAAGCCACAAAAACAAAACTACTCTCCATTAACAACCATAAAGATCCTTCCCTGCCTCCCATTAAAATGTCTGATAGCCAACTTCCTGAGAGTAACTCCCTGCGTTTGCTCGGTCTCACGTTGACTGCTGACCTGAGATGGAACACATACATTGAGTCAATTGCTTCTTCCACCGCGAGGAAAGTTGGCTCTCTGTGCCGCGCCAGGAAATTTTTCTCCCCGAAATCGATACTTCAAATATACAAAAGCCATTCGACCTTGCATGGAGTATTGCTGTCATATATGGTCTGGGGTACTTTCTGTTTACCTCGGAGTTCTTGACAAGATCCAGAGATGGATATGGAATGTTATTGGCCCTGATCTGGCGTCTCGTCTGCAGTCACCCTCTCACAGACCCCCCGTCGCCTCTCTCTGTCTTTTCTACAAATATTTTCATGGTAATTCCTCCGTTGAGCTGCTTTCACTGGTTCCCAGACTCCATGAATTCAAGCGCCCTACGAGGCTGGCATTCTCGCTCTCGCCCTTACACTATAGAAACTTTTAAATGTAGCCGTCTCTTCTACTCCAATAGCTTCATACCTCGCACCTCTAGCCTGTGGAACATCCTTCCCAATTACTGTTTCCTTGAAAGCTATAATCTCCAACTATTCAAATGTAATGTCAATCGACACCTTCAGTTACCTTGATCTATCCACTATCCCTTTCCTCATCCTTTCTTCTATCACTCCTATCTGCTCTTGCTCCAAATCTTCTGCAACCCCCTGCATCCTAGTGGCTTCACGCCTTGCTCGGGGCGTACTGGTTATATATATATATATATATATATATATGGATAGATAGATAGATGGATAGATAGATGGTGTGCAGCAATAATACTTTTACAAATATTGAAGGCAGTTCCTTCACATCAAAATAAGAAATTTATATCCGCAAATCCTTCGTTTTTTGTGTTGTTACGTATACACATGTACACAAAACGTTTGAAACTGGTATTTTCAAAATTTTTCAAGGAACGTTTTGAAAAACACAAACACCCGCTATATATATATATATATATATATATATATATATATATATATATATATATATATATATATGAAATAATATTTTTTTCAATCAAGCCAAATTCATCTGTATTTTATTTCTATTAATTTTTTATTTAGTTTTTCTCCATGATCATAGTACCTGAATAAACTGCATTTTGAAAACACAAACAGTGCCAGGAATGGGGCTATATTGTAAGAGCCTGGACGCAAATTTACCCTGGCTGAACTAGCGACCAGAGAACTACCCGGAAATATTCGTCTTAGTGGACTATTTTCTCTAGCGTTACAACATTAACAAAACTTAGACCGATGAAATTTAACGGATGAAACGCATCACAAAAAAAACTTTCTTTGAATTTGTCATTATTTTTCTAAGTATTGTTTGTTCGTATACAAATATATATATGTCTATACATATGATAATGAGTGTGTATATATATATATATATATATATATATATATATATATATATATATATATATATATGTGTGTGTGTGTG